TTATCAACAATGTCACTCTACCCACCCAATCACCACAGAAAGGGGTCACCTAATAAACACAGAGAGGGATCTCAATAAGTAAAGTCACTCTCTATCCCAATCACCACAGAAAGGGACACCCTAATCACAACAGAAAGGGTTACAAGCTTCACACAGACAGGCCTGAGTCACACAGACTATTTAGGAAGGATCGGCGTACCTTCCCCCCCCCACCGTTGGGCTAGTGTTGGGTCACACAGATAGGCACTAGCTCAGCAAGCATAACCGACAGATCACAGCAGAAAGGTCGGGGACCTAGCAACTCTATATCACACAACCTAGTCTATCTCAAGCAGAGCAGATCCAGCTCAAGTATAACCAATCCATGTTTTTTAGGGTTCCAAAGGCTTAGATCCATATTCGGGTTCATCAATTAATATTCCACCATCAACCAGCAATCATCAACACACAATCAACAGGGATCCATGTCCTAGCAATCTAAAACCCTAACAAGCAGATCTGATACTTGGCCTAAGAAAAGACTAACTACCATGGACATGAATGATAGAAAGGGTGAAGCATGGAGTCCTCACCTTGGCACAGAAGGCTGCAAGACAGGAGGAGGAGGAGGCATGGGGGATGGAGAGCGAAGCGGAGATCTATCATCACTGGATCCAAATTCGAAGGGAGGAGGAGATGGAGGCACAAATATCTCAGAATGAAGAAGAAGTTTCGACTGGAGAAGAGAGAGATAAGAGATCAGAGTAAGGATGAGAGAAAGAGAATGAGAGAGAGAAGATATCTGAATACCCGACACGCGATTAGCGATAACTTTCGGCACCGACCACCAATCAGGGCGAGCTCGGTCTTAATGGAAAGCGTACTTTCGGGGCTTCAATTTGATATGCTCTTTGTCGCGTGGCTCTTCACGGATCGCCGGGAAACTGCCTTGGACGTTGACAGAGGATTAGAAGGAGATGGTGACGAAAAAGAGAGAAGGAAGAGAGACTAGGATTTTAGAAAGATTAATGAGGGATTAGGGTATTTATATTTAGGTTAAATTAATTTGGGCTGGGCTTAATGGGCTTGCATGAGATTAAAAAGAGATTAAGAATGGGTTTAATTAAGAAAGATGGTCTAATTTAAATGAACCGGAAAAATCAAATTTACTAACAACCGACTCCGAGAGGTCGGGTTGTTACAATCTTCCCCTTCAACAGTATTCGTCCCCGAATCCGAAGGGAGAAGTTCTTGAAAGGAATTTCGAAATCGAAACCAAGAAAATAAAAGCACGGAAGACAAAAAGAGGAAACTTGGTCGCAGGAGGAGAGAAAAGATTCCAGGAATGGATCCACAGGGTCCATGGCGCCAAAAGAGGAGGAAGCCCAGGTTTAAGATCATAAAATGATGGGAGGATTTAGAGGAGAAAGCATGATGCAGAAGTAACACTTTAAATAAAACTCAAAACTATTTCTTTATTAAATTAAAAGAGGAGTAGACAATATTGTTTTTGAAAAGAACAATGAAATGAACACCAACTTAGAATCTATCTAATTCATAAAAAACATAAAAACAATTAATAATTTTATATAAATAAAAATAGAGTTCTACTCCTATGAAAACCTTTTTTTTCTAATCACTAAAACGAGTTTCAGGCAGATCTTCTTTGATGATGCAATCTGACAAAATGATCTGAATAGACTCTCCTGATCTGGCTCAACCCACGCGCGGCTGGTCCCTTAAGCTTAAGGAAAATAAAATAAAGGAATTAAGAAAGGAAAAGGATAAGAAAAGAAGGAGATGGTGACGCCAATGATGTTGGGGGATTACCCTACAAAATAGTTTACAAACAGGTAGAAGGAGAAATGATGAGAAACTATTCCATCTTAATTTCTTTTTTAAATAAAGCCAAAACACTCAAGCCTCCTTTTCGACACCGTTAATGTGATTGATACTCTCGTTGGTAACTGGTAAGAAGTCATTAAAAGGCTAATTCAATGCTTTAGACTTGAATGACTTGATTTTGAGAGCACTTCTTTGCCCTAGGATTTGGTCATTGGAGTAGGCATTGAGTTGTGATGGCCATGTTGAAGTAGAAGTACAATGAAGTAGAGTTTGCTTTTGTATTATCTTAGCGGTTTTTATAATATTGTATTAAAAGCTTCACCATTCAGAATAAGTAAGTTCCCATTTCAATCCCATCCCATGTGCTTAGCTTGATACTGAGATGTAGAACAAGCAACTGTTAAGTTCTGAGGAGTTGATGAGTGCCATTAGTCTTATTTTGCTTTATATTCTTCTTGTATCCTTTTGTCATGAGGCTTTTTTAGGTGTATTTGAAAACAATGTATAAAGTTGGTTTTTAAATGGAATACTCAAAATTATTTCATCTTTACTATAAAGTCAAAGACTCAAAATCTTCATAAGAAAATTAAGAAGGTCATGAAAATGATTGATGTAATGCGCGAAACTCTCCAAAAGAGGGTGAATACCAGCTGGTGAATACCAACTTCATTCCATTTATTCACATTATTTCCATTCTGATATGGGATGTTACATGACTACGTAAATTTACTAGTTTAATCTGAGCGTGTAATAAGTAAATATTTGTGTTATTTGTTTCACAACAATAATCTACTTTTGAAAAGAAAAGGATTATGAAATTTTGTAAACCTAAATGAAAATTAAGCTTTGTACTTCCTTAACACTTGATATAACTGTTATGCAGAGCATTACAACGAACCCGATGTAGGAATCAATACACTTAATACATTATACATCAAACTAGTTTTTAAGGTATTTTATCTTAAAAGTATTGACACAACAATTGTATTCTCTTAAAGAAAATTCAAAATTATTTACAAGGATCATATTTCATTGCTGTAGATATATTATCATTGACAGGGTTGTTCATAACATTTTATAGACCCTAAGCAACCATGATATCATTCTAATTCAAATAAATATTTAATACTATTGTAATTTAAATATTTGTTTTTTGGTAAAAATTTAAATAATTTTTTTGATACACTTTAAGTGCAAAAAATAAATTTAAAATTATCATATTAACATTATTTTGATTACTGCTCTATCCATTTTGGTTTATAAGTCGTTTGAAGTTGTTTCACACAAATTAATAGAAAAACATATTAAAATTTTTATTATACTTTGGTGGCATTGGTTGAAAAATATCATTTGCAACCATATCTCTAGGGATATCTGTAAAAATCTTGAATCCACCATGCTTTCATCAAACCCTTGGCAAATATATTGTCAAAAAGATATCGGTTTTAAATAATCATGATTGTCCTCCAATACCCTCTATCTTCGTAGCTTCAATGCAGGCATAGATATATCCAAAATTTCAATTATATAATTTATTAATATACTACATAATTTTCTCTGTCTTATTAGTATTTTATAATAATAAGATTAAAAATAAAAAAATTGTCTAAAATTCTGCATTGAAAATTGAAAAAAAAAACTTACTTCAAAATAAAAAATCAATTCTAAAATGACCTATAAACTGAAACGGAGAAAGTAGTATTTAATTTTGTATAAAAAAAAAATTATTTCGACACACAAAAAATGAAACTAAATACTTTATTTGTTTCTAAACATATAACATAATATGTGTAAAAAAAACTTCTTGACTGAAAAAGGTTTATTGATACAACATTTTTTTTAATCAATAGGATAGTTTAATTTTTTCGATAAGTTAATTTAATTAATATCTTCAAAATACTGTTACAAAGTCAATATACAAAATTTCTAAAAAATAAATTATTACATATGCAGATATATATATATATATATATATATATCATATGTTAAGAATGATATAGCATGAAAAGTGAATTTGACGATATTTTACAAAATAAAATTTTATTCACTAACGGTTAATTAAATCTGTTATTTTTTATCTTATTTGTTAACAGTTTGATTAAGTCCATTATTATCTTTCTCCGTATTCTTTTTTTTGATGCGAATTGTGTGTTTATTTAGCAATTTTTGTCTAAATCTCAAAAAAACACACGACATAATAAAACCCAATTCTTCTAAAAGTTCATTATAAATTTATTACTATAATTAAATTTTAATTTCAAAATATATCCCCCAAAAAAGTTATTCACAAAGGCCCGTAGGTGAGTGTTTCTATTTTCTTACCATGGACACGACCATGCTCATTGATTAGTCTATCATTTTCTAGAATCGCTTTTAAAGACCAAACCCGTTTATAATACTATCCTCCACACCGTTTGCATTGCCCAAAGCAGTGCACTTAAGGTTTTCAATCTTTACAACAGTCTCGAATTTGGTAAGTTACAATTTCTATTTTACACAAATAATATTCTTCCATCTTATCAAATCCATCCCGTTCCAGTTGTGTTACGTTTTATATCCTACACAAAAAGTACATCCAATCTAATTGCCACTAAATATTGTTTAGCGCTTCTACTCATTAATCAATTAACTCAATTATTTATTTTGATTACATTCTACAAACAGTCTCCTTATAACTCGTAGAACCCATCCCAATCTGATCTTAACTCTTTTTGTTTATAAATCCCTCAGTTTTTTTACAGATGATGTTTTAGAGATAAAATAATTCAACTTTCATTGTAAGATGAATCAGTTTTTCCTACTGTTTTTAATAATTTGTATTCTGCACTAGATTGTTTTATCATTTGTTTGAAATGGATGGAGTATCATTTGTTATAGATTTTATCTTTTTTTGATGTAATATATAGCTAATGTGAATCAAGAGTTTACAAAGTCAGAATATCTACTCATGAATCGATCCTTCGTCATAACATTTTTCGATTACTGAGGTTTAGCATTTAGGAGCGGTGACATTTTAATACTAATGGTCACCAAAACTGAACTAAAAATTTAATCTTAAGAATACATGACAAAACATGGAACTAACCAGACTTATATGGTCAAAAACAAATATCGAAAGAAAATTGAGGGAGCTGATCATAAATACACAATTCTTACATATTTTCCAATTTGCAGAAGTCAGATTCCGTCTCCTTCTCCGTTTCCTTCTCTCCTTTTCTTTCTCTCGCACAAAAATTACCTTCCATGGCTCTTCCTCACCATTTAGATCCACACCTTCATGACTCGAAGAATTTCAGGTAGCAATCTCTTCTCTTGCTTTGTCCTGCGATAAGAAGCCCCAATTTTTTTGTATATTATTTTAACAACAAAACCCTAAATTTCGCGAGATTCTTTAAATATGTAAACATTTTGGTTGTTTTCCAGGGACTTTTGCGGGATCGACGGCCAGATTCCTCTCGAATTAGGGTTTGACAGCTCCACGAATCTCCATGATCAGTCTCAGCATCCTCCGTATATTCCTCCTTGTAAATCACATCTCATTTCTCATTTTTTTCCAAAATTTTTCTTTTTCTCAGAAGCTTGAATTTGCTTGTATAGAGTCTGGACTTTAGATTCTTGCTTAATTGGGACTAAAATGGTTTGAATTTTGATCGATATAATCGATGTTGAGAGATTAATTGAATTGGTTTGTTCAGTTCATGTTGCTGGTTTTGCGCCCGGACCGGTTATGCAAATCGACGGTTCCGATGGTGGCGGCACCGACTTCGAGTGGAACTATGGCCGGAAAAGAGTAAAGGAACAAGATTTTTTCGAGATGTCTTCAATTGATTTTTGGCAAGGCCGGTCTGTATCAACCGGTTTGGGTCTCTCACTTGACAATGCTCGTATTGCTTCCTCTGATGGCTCTGCTTTGTTGTCTCTCGTTGGAGACGATGTTGATCGTGAGTTACAGAGGCAAGATGCAGAAATCGATAGATTTCTCAAGATTCAGGTGACTTTTGCATGAATAAAATATAATACATTCTGATATTAGGTTGTTTGATGCTCTTATGACTGTTTATAGAACACATTCTTGTGTCTTACTTAATGTTCAGTGCTAGTTGCTCTGTATCTGCTGAATTCATATATGTGTGGTTCTTGGATGTATGAATAAAGTTGATTTGGTTTGGTTTTTGTAGTTTCTCTCCGTGTTCTTGATTCTCTATGCTTTTGACAGGGGGATCAATTACGACATTCGATTCTTGACAAGATCCAGAGGAGTCAGCATAAAACTGTGTCACTTATGGAGGAAAGACTTGTTCAGAAGCTTCGTGAGAAAGACGAGGAGCTAGAGATGATAAACCGAAAGAACAAGGAACTCGAGGTGAGAATGGAACAGCTGACAATGGAAGCCGAGGCGTGGCAACAACGAGCGAAGTACAACGAGAACATGATCGCTGCTCTCAACTACAATCTCGAGCGAGCTCATGGTGGTCGGCCTAGAGATAGCATTGAAGGGTGTGGAGACAGCGAGGTGGACGACACAGCTTCTTGCTTCAATGGAAGAAACAGTAACAACGGTAAGACGACGATGAGGATGATGTGCAGGTTTTGTGGAGTGAGAGAGGTGTGTATGTTGTTGTTGCCTTGTAAGCATATGTGTTTGTGTAAGGAGTGTGAGAGGAAGCTTAGCTCTTGTCCTTTGTGTCAATCTTCCAAGTTTCTTGGGATGGAAGTATACATGTGATGTGATAATTTGGACCAAAAACCTAAAAACTCTAATTAGCTAACGAACTCTTTTGTAATCCGCCTTGTTTTATTTTGTATGTTAATATTATCTTCTATTACCAAACATGTAAATTTGGTGCAATCTAAAAAACTTTATCTCAAGTCCAAAAGCCCATGTTTCATTCAATTTCAAATTTTTGTCAGTTCAATTTAGACTCATAAACCCAATTATCTTTGCAAAGAAACCTGGTTTCAATAGGAATGACATACTAATTAAAAATCAAATTCATACAAAAACTGTTCCTATGATAATGATATAAAAAACCATACAAAAGCTTTTAACACAACTCATTAAGGTCCTAGAATTTAAGTTACGATCATCCAGAACTTTTTGCAGGTTGGCATCGAAGACAAGACAAGAGGAGAGCAAAAGCGAAGTCAGGTGCCAAGCCACACCCAAATAGGGCTCTTCTACCATAAGCCATAAGACGCTTGGAACCAATGCAGAAATGAGCAACTCGCCACCTAAGCTACAGTTAAGTTGCGTAAACAACTTAAACTCCACCATCCTCCTCTTCCTCTTACTCGTCTCCACTACTTCCCTTGCCTTCACTTCATTATCCACCTCTTGGCAATAACAAGAAAGCAATAAACTCGGTATTCAATAATCGTACTCCCATCCTTCTGGTTTCCACTTCTCATACATCTCTTCTGCTCCTTTCACATCTTTGAGCTTCAACAAAGAGTTAATCACACTTAAATACGCTTCATTATTATCCCTATTTCTTGGCTCAAGATTCCATAGACCGTACTTCGCTTTCACTCCCTGTTATCTCTATGGCCTTTAGTATTAACAAGGCCTTTTCGTAAGCCTATGCCATTGCTGCATTGCATCTCTCTTCTTCACTTCAAGCTTGGTTTTATTATCATCACCAACCCATTTTCTCTTATACTTCTCCATTGTCTCTGTGAAATCCTGACCTAATTGTATCAGTTTGATTTTTTCTTTTCCCGGTTCAATTTAGTTTCTATTCTAAACCAAAATTTCTAGACAAAAACCTCATATGAAAGTCTCTTAATTCTATTTCTATGCCCTAACCTCTCTCTTTTCTCTCTTCTCCACAAGTTCTCTTTTGTCTTCTTCCTTCACCATCGCGTCTCTTCTCCATCGCCAACTCGCAGAATAAATTCCCAAAGAACCGTGAATAATCGTGCGACTATCTACCTATCAATTTAAAGCCCCACGTCTTGTCTTTCTGTGAAGACCGAGATCACCCAGATCGGAGTTCACTCTGTTGGAAATCAATCCAAAGTCCCACATCGGAAGTTTAGACCAATATGGTCTAGTATATAAGTAATGTCCAACTCTAATTAGAATGAAGCCTTTTGGGAAAGAACCCAAAAACAAATCTGTGCGGACTTTGCCACTTGGGTGCAAAATGGACAATATCATACTAATTAGAGGAGTTGGACATGGGCTTAGAAAAGGCCATTAAATGGTATCAGAGTGACTAGGTTATTTTTAAAACTTACCAAGCAGAACGAAGATCATAGGGTTTAAAACAATGGGCGACATCGTTGAAGCAAGCAAGGCGAAGGAGAGTAGTTCTTCAGCCATACAATGTCCGATGCTGACCACCACAAACTACACAGTATGGTCTATACGAATGACAATAACATTAAAGGTACACAAAGTGTGGGAAACCATCGAACCAGGGACAGCCGATGGAGAAAAAAACGATCTAGCAAAAGGGTTGCTATTTCAATCTGTACCTGAGACCCTACTCCTACAAGTCGGAAATTTTGAGACCACAAAAGAAGTATAGGGTGCGATTAAAACCAGACACATGGGAGCCGATCAAGTAAGAGAAGCTAGACTGCAGACTTTAATGTCAGAATTTGAAAGGATAAAGATGAAGGAGACCGACAAAATTGATGATTTTGCTGGAAAACTTTCTGAATTATCCACTAAGTCTGCAGCCCTAGGAGAAAGCATGGAGGAACCCAAGCTTGTTAAGAAATTCCTTAACAGCCTTCCGAGAAAAATACATACATATAATTGCTGCCCTTGAACAAGTGCTTGATCTCACCAAAACTAGTTTTGAAGACATCGTTGGAAGATTAAAAGCTTATGAAGAAAGAATTGCCAAAAAAGAAGGAGATCAAGCAGATGATCAAGGAAAACTTATGTATGCAAATTCGGATCAAGAAACACAAAACGGAGGTGCTGGTAGAGGTAGAGGTCGAGGTGGTCGCTTTTACAGTCAAGGAAGAGGCAGAGGACGCTATGGATATCAACAGAACAATTGGAACCGACAAGAGCAGGATAAATCAAAAGTGGTGTGCTACAGATGCGATAAAATAGGACACTACGCGTCGAACTGTCCTGACAGATTGCTCAAACTCCAAGCAACTCAGGAGAATGAGAGTGAAGACACACAAGAAGCAGAGAAGCTTATGATGCACGAGGTGGTGTATCTCAACGAAAGAAACATTCAACCTGATCACTCCGAAAAAGGAACAGATGGGGACAACATCTGGTACTTAGATAACGGGGCCAGTAATCATATACAGGGGATCGAACCTATTTCTCAAAGCTTGATGAGACAGTTACAGGAAAAGTACGGTTTGGCGATGACTCACGCATAGACATAAAAGGAAAAGGATCGATCCTATTTGTAACAAAGAATGGTGAAAAGAAGATATTAGCAGATTTCTATTACATTCCTGATCTAAGAAGCAACATCATCAGCCTTGGGCAAGCCACATAATCAGGCTGTGATGTTAGAATGAAAGGAGATCATCTAACATTACACGATCGAGATGGAAAATTGTTAGTAAAAGCTTTTAGATCAAGTAATCGCCTGCATAAGGTACTTATGGAAGCTGAGAGCAAAAAGTGTTTGCATCTCATGGACTTAAGCGACTCAGCAAAGTGGCACGCTCGGCTTGGTCATGTAGGAACCGAGAATATGAAAAACATGATTAAGAAGGAGCTAGTCGTTGGAATAAGGAACTTTACACCAGATAAAGAAACCTGCGAATCATGCATACTTGGAAAGCAAACAAGACATGTCTTCCCTAAAGCAACATCATATCGTGCACAAAATATACTTGAGCTGATACATGGGGATCTTTGTGGACCTATTACACCTCCCACAGCTGCACAAAACAGGTATATTTTTGTGCTGATAGATGATCACTCAAGATACATGTGGTCGATACTCTTAAAAGAAAAGAGTGAGGCATTCCCAAGATTCAAGAAGTGTAAGGCATTAATCGAACACGAGACAGGTGTTTCGATCAAGACGCTTCGAACAGATAGGGGTGGTGAATTTGTGTCTCAAGATTTTCAAAGTTTTTGCGACAAATCGGGTATAAGAAGACATCTAACAGCGCCTTACTCACCACAACAAAACGGCGTAGTGGAAAGACGAAACAGAACTCTGTTGGAGATGGCTAGGAGAATCATGAAACACATGAGGGTACCTAAATATTTATGGGGAGAAGCAGTAAGGCATGCAACCTATCTCATAAATCGAGTTGGAACAAGAACTTTGGAAGCACAAACCCCATACGAAGCATTCAGGAAAAAGAAGCCAAACATTGAGCACCTACGGATCTTTGGATGCATAGCCTACGCGAAAACAGAGTCACAACACTTAAAGAAGTTAGATGACAGATCTCGCATGTTAGTGCACTTAGGCACTGAACCAGGTTCGAAAGCTTATCGACTACTGGATCCAAAGAATCGAAAAATAATAGTTAGTCGAGACGTAATCTTCGACAAAAATAAAAGCTGGAGGTGGAATAATACAGGGGAAGAGAGTATCGATGATTCAGGGACTTTCACACTTGGTTTCCGTATTAGAAGCATCAATGAGAATATAAACGATGATGGAAATCAAGAAACAGAGGAAGTTATTTCCGATGAAAATACAGACCCTGTTCTCGCAGAAGAAACAGGTGAAGAAGATGAACAGCAACAAACGAATGAAGTCGAAGATCAAAACCAACCCACTCTGCGACGATCAACGAGACTAGGAAGACACCAGGCTATTTAAAGGATTTCGTTATGTTGGCCAAACTCGAGAGTGAACGACTCTTGTTGACCTTAGATGACGAACCATGGGATTTTAATGAAGCAAAGGAGCTGAAAGTATGGAGAGATGCATGTGAGAATGAAATCTCGTCCATTAGTAAAAACAAAACTTGGAATCTTGTCGATCTTCTTGCTGGAGTCAAGCCAATCGGTTTAAAATGGGTATTTAAGATCAAAAGAAACTCGGATGGAAGCATTAACAAATATAAGGCCAGATCAGTGGCAAAAGGATATGTTCAGAAGTTTGGAGTGGATTTTGATGAGGTTTTCGCACCAGTGGCAAGGATTGAAACAGTTCGACTTATACTTGCCTTGGCAGCTTCGCGGAATTGGGAAGTACATCACTTAAATGTCAAAACCGCTTTTCTTCATGGCGAATTAATGGAGGTTGTGTACGTTACTCAGCCTGATGGTTTCATAGCCAAGGGGAGTGAAGGCAAAGTATACAAGTTAAATAAAGTCCTGTACGGCTTAAGACAAGCACCGAGAGCTTGGAACAACAAGCTAAACACAATTCTCAAAGAACTTAAGTTTGTTAAATGTTCTAAGGAACCTTCCTTATACCGAAAACAAGAAAAGGAGATGCTTCTATTGGTAGCTGTATATGTTGACGATTTGCTTGTTACAGGTTCAAGCTTAGAACTAATTCACAAATTTAAGAGGGAGATGTCTGCAAAATTTGAGATGAGCGATTTGGGTAAACTAACCTACTATCTTGGCATCGAAGTACTTAAAGAAAAAGGGGTATTATTCTCAAGCAGGAAAGATATGCAGCTAAAATCTTGGAAGGAGCAGGAATGAATGAGTGTAATGCGGTTCATATACCAATGGATGCAGGCTTAAAACTAAGCAAATCAGAAGAAGAGAAGAATATCGATGCAACAGAGTATAGAAGGAATATCGGGTGCCTTCGATATCTTCTTCATACTCGACCAGACCTGTCTTTCAGTGTTGGTGTACTAAGCAGGTATATGCAAGCACCCAAGGAATCGCATGGAGCAGCGTTAAAACAGATAT